TAATCATGTAACAATTATTATTTTACTCTATTAATAAAGATCGTGAGAAATGTCTCACTTAACATTAAAAAAAAAATTTTTTTTATATTAAATATTTATTTTAACAAACAATAATAATAAATCAATAAAAATAATTATAAATAAACTTGTTTCTTATATTTTGAAAAAATCATTTTTAAAATTTTATTTAATTTAAATTATTATTTAATTTAAATTATTATTTATAAAAATATAAATATAAATATAATTACATTTTTTTTTTAATGCACTGTATATACAAAAAATTTATTATTTTAATTATTAATTAGTAAATGCATTAAAATATCAAATTATTTTTTTGATAATTTCTTAGTGCATATATAATTAAATTGAATAATAGTTTAATACTGTATATTAAAAAATTCTTGCTTATTTTCTTTTATCAAAAAAAAATTTTTTTTAAACTATTTATTTATAATAGTTTTTAACATAAATTCAGAAGTTTTTTAATATATGAAACGTTTAATTGCTTTTCTTGTTGAAGGATATTTGTATTTTATATACAATAGTAATTTATAAGTTGTCAACGCTAGTTTTTTATTAAAATAAGATTATATACATACACATATATCTCAGTTATTATAAATAAAAACTTTTTTTTTTCTTTATTTTTTAATATCTTTTTTTGATCTTTCTTTCTTATTGATAACAATTTTTTTATAAAGATTTTTTTTCTAATAGTTTTTTTCTTCTAAACAAATTTATTAATTTTCTGATTTACCGATATTCTATTTTAACTTGTCAAAACTGTAATATTAATTAATAAATATTCCACCTATGAATGGAAATGTTACGTAATACAATTGATCACCAATTGCGTAAAAATACCGTGCAGTATTGTACTGAGAAGCAAATTTAAGATATCATTATGGCTTTTGAAAGGTTATTGATAGTCGAAGAATTAAAAAATGCAGCCAAAGGTAAATTTTTATTGCTTTAATTATCACAAATGTTAGACTAATTGTACTTATTATTGTGCAGATGGTAAATGTTAAATCAAATTCATTATCATTTTTTTTTGCGAGTTCAAACTTTTGACTTCATGACAATTACAGATAGTAAGTTTAAGAAGGTATCTTTATTTATATTATTATAAATTGTGATTAATGTTGATAATACTACGATTATAGGCTGTAAGTTATATTTTTATTGCGATTTATGTCTATAAAAATTTTTTTTAAAATTGTCATTGTTAATTTTACAGGGGGTTGGTTTACTAAAAAATTTAGATTGTTATTCCTATTCTTATTGACAACGTTGATTTAAATAACTATTACAGATGGTATGCTAAGTGATATATATTTTTCTTTCTTTTTTTGTCGCCAACCTTCTAATCTCATCAACAATGGTTATTGCAGATGGTATTTAAAAATTCACATATTTATATTGTTTGAATTAATACGAACGTCCTAATTATCTTGTTCACCTTACTTTGATCGACTATTGTCGAATTTAATAGCAGTCGCAGATAGTAAGTCAAAAATAATTTGATCAAATTGATGACAATTCATGTTGAAGTATATTTATTGTCAAATTTCGTTCTTTATTTTGTGATTTTCAATAGTTATCAATGATGGTAAATTTAAGTATCGTATACGCTTTTTTATAATTCTTTTAATATCTGACTTTAATAATGATTGCAGACGGTATGTTTAATTAGATACGTATATATTTTTTCTGATTACTATTACGATTTAGTATAGTATTATTAATTTGATTAATTTTCTTGAAATTTCACAGGTCAGTTAAATAAACGATTTATAATTATTCTCATTCTTCTTTAAAATTTTACATGAAAAATGAATAACTTATTACAATTATATCCTTCTTCGGTGTTAATTTATGGTAGATGGTAAGATAAGTCCGAATATTCGTCATTTATTGTGTAAAGTCATCGAGCATGTTTTGATCTATTATTGCATTTAACAATGATTCAAGCGTGTAAGTTAATCAAGCGAGTTTTTATTGTTTATAATCTTTTTCATGCAAAAAATGTCTAATCACCATGAGATATATTTTTATAAACATTATAATAAGATGGTAAGTTAGTGAGATGTATTTAATTTGTTTTATTGTTATTATTTTTTAAAAATATATATACATGACAAATCTATTGAATAAATCATAATTTAATCATTCTAAATTTTTGTACATAACATATATTTACCGAATTTCATAATTTAAAAATATTGCAGAAGGTGGGTTGAATAAGTATACACGAATATTTTTTTCGCTATTTTTTTAATCAAAAAAATCATTTATATTCTTTTAATCATTTGTAGATTGTAAGTTGAATCAATTTGTCTCACATTTGTTATATTAGTGACATTAAATAGTGATATATTTATTAAAATTGTCAATAATGTAGATGGTAAGTTAGCTCGAGTATATTTGGATATTTTGTTTGACTAATAATGCTAACCGTTTAAATATGTTATTTGATAATTGACATTTAATACCTTTCCAGTCGGTAAGTTTTTTTTTTAAAACATTTTTTTACTAACATATATTTATACTTATGATTTTATTTTTAATTATTATATTTGTAGATTGTAAGTTGATTATTTTTATTTAAGTTTTACGTAAATAGTTTGGTCACCTATTAAATTAATTTTACAGGGGGTAATCTAAAATACTTGATTAACTACACAAACTTGCGTTGAAATCATTTTAACACACTTTTTTCTCGACAACTTTAGCTTGTAAGTAAATATTCAGTTATTTTTACTATTTAATAGTCATTTGACCAGGAATCTCTTATCTTTTCATCGATCAACAATTTGCTAACTTATAGGGGGTAAGTTAATGGAACTTTTATTATTGTTATTAAAAATCAATCAATTTATATCCGTACAATTTCCACTTTCAATAACTATTACAGATGGTAGGCGAAGTGACAATATTTTTTGTTAATTATATTTACATAATAATGTTTCCTACTTTTATCAATTACAAACGATCAAGATTGTAAGTTAATTACATTGTAAATCCATTTTAAATTTTTTTTACTAAGATGATGCATTGATTTTCTCACTACATCTTTATGTTTTTGATGTTCATTTCTTAATGATTAAAGACAGTATGTTTAATTCAAATTGTTTATTATGCAAGTTCAACAAAAATATCCGAATTAATAATCTCCTTGTTAACATAACCTAGATAGTAAGTTTGATTAATTATTATATCATTATTTAATTGTATTGGAGAACATTCATATAATTTTCTCTCAAATTGCTTATATAGAAGGTGAAGTTTTTTTACTGTGATTTTGTGATCAGCGTTTTAATCGATTACCTATGTATTGAACTTATATTATAAAAATTACAAGATGGTATATTAAATAATAGTCGTGTGTTTCATTTTCTTGATACTTTTTATTGAAGGCGTTTAATTTCATATTTTTTAGGAAGCAAGTGCAACCTGTGTGACAAGAAAACCTCATCCCGTTACTGGTGTCTGTATTGTAATTCTTCTTATTTTGAAAGGGAATTCAGTAATTGGAGTAGTGAGGACCCTCAAATTGACAAATTCATAATGAAGGCGCAATCAACAGCAACTAGCAGGTATAAAGTACTCGAGTGGATTCCATATTCGAAATTCAAGAATGTGAGAATTCTCGATAGAGATGAGTTTCATAAAGTTTATACGGCAGAATGGACCGAAGGCGACATTTGTTATTGGGATAGAAGGAACATTCGGTGGAAAAGAAGGGGAGTCACGGAGGTCGCACTGAAATGCTCTAATTCTGGATCAAGTAACGATTATGGTAGTTTGCTAAACGAGGTTATTATTAATATAGTATACTAAATTTCTGTTATTTGAAAGATGCATTGACTTTATCACTATTTTAACTTAGATAAAAAACCTTTACGATTGCAATGGAAATAGATCTCACGTCATACGATGTTATGGTATTACCCGAAATGAAATGACAAATGAATTTATGATTGTCACTCAATTTATTAATAATGAAAGCAATTTATCTAAATTTTATAAAATGTCGTGGTCAGAAAAGCTTGATGTTTTGTTTCAAATTGCAAAAGGTTTACGTCAAGTGCACAATGCTGGATTAGTTCATCGAGACTTTCATTCGGGGAATATTCTTTTATCGGAAGACGGGTTGCCTTATATAAATTTAAGTTTATGCCAACCATTTGATGGTCTTACAAGTGAATTCAAAGATGTGTATGGTGTACTTCCATATGTTGCACCCGAAGTATTATACAATAAGAAGTATACAAGTGCAGCAGACGTTTATTCATTTGGAGTTATCATGGCTGAATTGTTGACTGGTACTCTTCCTTTTAACGATGTTCCGCATGACGAAGACTTGGCAAGATACATTTGCAATGGGCTTCGACCTAAAATTCAAAACCTGCCTGATTCAGTAAATAAGTTGTTGCAAAAGTGTTGGGATGCTAATTCAAGGAACCGATTTAATGCATATGACTTGTGCGACATTTTAAATGCATGGCGTTATTTTAAAAGACATCCAGATTCGATAATTGCCAAGCAAATCAACAAATGTGAATGCATGGCACCAAATTCTTCGATCATCACGGAGACGCATCCACTTGCTATATACAAAATTCGACCCCTCATCTTTAAAGGCCTATCAAATCCATTTTCAGAACCCCCAGAAACCATTGATTCACCATACCAACCAGTACCAATAAAGCCGATCACTGCATCAATGAATTTTACAGACCTTTTACCAGATTTTCCGTTCTTATCATCAATGGATTCGTCAGCCACTTCATCAATGGATTATCCAGGCATTCAACCAATAGATTTACCAGTCATTTCATCAACGAATTCGCCTGATCGTATTCCATCACCACTTTATAATACTCCTCCAGAAACCGTAGACTCATCAGATGCTACCAATGACGAATATATTTCCTTTTTAAATAGTTTTGACGGCTATTACTATTTCTGACCAGCAGAATGATGCATAATAGAATGATTTCATAAGACAAATATACTTCAACGACCTTTCCTTTCTTTAATTTTTTTTTCTATACTTTATTCTATATTGATAGTAATAAACATGCATGATATTGATTTTATTTAAATAACATTGTAAGCTTATCACAGTATTTGATAAATCATGTGGTTTTTTAATTACGGTATGTCTTTAATAAATCAACGAGCAACAATTATGTCCCAAATAAAGTAGTAAGTAAATAATTATGTTCCTTTCAAAAAAAAAAAACAATTACGTAATTTGCAAAAATTTATGTTAAATAGTTTTAATATTTATCCTTGAGCCCAAAAAATCATACATTATATCGATATTTATTTAAATTTATAATTTATAAACTAACCAATTCATTAATCTCGAAACATAGCTTGGGCTTACTTTTCAATTTCAAGTGGTATTTAAGCTTATTATAGTATTTAAAAAAATTTAAATTCTGGAAGAAAAAAAAAAGAGTACATTTATACTTTATTTGTGTAATTTATTATTTAGATTTTTTAATAATTTTTTGACTAAAAATTTCATATAAATTAACTTTTTAGATGTCAACGAACAATTTATATTCGGTTTCCTGCAATAATCAACTTCTTCTCAGTCGTTAATTGTTTGTGAAAACACTTACAATTTTGAATGAATATGGTTATTTTTCTTTCAGCTGAGTTGACGTTAGTTCTTTCGTATCATCTTTTATGCCATTTTCAAGTTTTCGTCCAAAAATATCACAGTTAATTAATTCGTCGGAGCAATCAATTACCACTACTTTTTCGCTATTCGGAGAGATGATACAAACGCTCAATGTTATTTCCCGAAACGAATTAATTTCTGATAACTGAGAAGAATCCAAATTGGTAACTTTTTCTTGAACTGACCAAAGAAATGCTTTTAGGTGAAGGAAATTATGTGACCATTCTTTCAGCTCAAACTGAATTATAGAGTCAAAGTCAAAATGTTTTTTCGACGTATGAATTAATACAAGCGAATCCTCTATTAATGGCAACGGACTTCGAATTGAAATTGTCTCTTTGTTGGGATTCAAGTCTTCGGGTTTAAGTACAGTTTTGAAAGTTTTTATTTTCCTATTTTTGCGAAGTCGAGGACTAAAAACTCCGAGTAAAGAGGGCTTCCCAACTATGATCCACACTATACGCCTGTTAATATCCGCTGGTTACCATTTATAATGTCCTAATAAAATTATATTATATGAAATACACACACCTTTTTCTACTGACAAAATTGGAACCAGTCTTAATAATAGCCGAAAATCCACGATAGTCATATAACCCAAATTTCGCCGCACAATCCTCTATTCTATGATTATTTTCATCGATGACCGTGCCAAAAACTTCATATTCCCTATTATCTAACGATTCTTTTAAACGTATTCGTATATGTTCGCTAACATTTGTATTCAAGTTTCCATACTCAGTTAACCCAGATAACAATATCTTGTCATCACGTCGTTCATTTAACACTAGTTCAATTTCCTTTTGTTGTTCACTTTCAAGAATTTTATATAGCGCAATAGGTTCATCAAAACCGACGATATCATATTTACGAATGTCACCGTGACTATTTACCCAATCATTCAATTCCTCTTTCCTGACTGTATGCCCGTGTGAATCTGAAAAGGAGAAATTCTCATCTAGTAAACTAGGCGCATAACTCAATATCAACTCTTCGATCTTTTTTTCCAGCAATTTATGTTTGTATAATAACGAACATTCCGCGGGATTAAATTTTGATGTTGATGAACAAGTCTTTCTTAATACCTCTCCTAAGATAACTTTTTGAGGCCACAAATAACCAAAATCTCCAAAAACTTTTTTCAAAGCCTGATAAGGTTTCAATTGATCAAGTGCATTTTGTATAGCGTTTCTGAAATCAATTGTTGGTTCGATGAATCTTGTATCTAGCAATAACTCAACCTTTTCTATTCTAATTATATAATGGATGAACCTTTCTCCATTTGTAGGAATTTGTTTTCTACTAATATATCCCATTTTATTAATTAAATCTTCTGTAAATTGATCAAAAAATGGAAAAGAACAAAAGCTTTTAATTGTATATAATAAATTGTTCTCTAGCAAAAAATTTTCCGTATCCGTGTTTGGTTCGATTGCTTGTACGTACAACTCATTTTTCGATAACACCTCGGGTACGCGTATAAAATCAACAGCAGCTTCTTTGCCTGGAATTATAGATTTGTTTAAATCGATGCTTAGCCCGTTATTGAGATTAAACTTTTCAATCCATGTAACCAAGTTGACAGAGACAACATCACCGATCCATTTATTCAAACCAATCTTCTTTTCGGGTATGTGAAGACTTTCGGATGTGGAAAAACTTTCGAATGTGTAAGGATTTATGAGTGAAATTGGAATTACATCTTCGTAAGAGATCAACTTAACCTTTTTATCTTCATATACTTCTTTCATCCAATTCATCAATTCTATGGGACTCTCAAATAACCTTGAACTATCATATTCAAATATATGAAAATTAAACTTTCCAATAGATAATGAAAAGTTTTGAAAAACATTCTTTTTTGAATTGCGTACAGAATCCAGAGCCCATATAATATGCGACTTCAATACGTTTCTCTGTGAATCTGTCATGTCACCATAATTTCTAATTATAAGTTTTCCGCCGACTAGAACCTTTGTCGCTACAAATTCTCCGTATTTTTTTGTAGGAATAGTTATAATATCACCAGTTATTATGTGTGAAATAATATCGCTTCTGCATTGAGAGTAATATGTCACCCTGGCGATTGGAAATAAAACGATGGCATTCCTACCTAAAAAACCCGATTTTTTGATAATTACTAAAGGCTCTCCGAAATATTTTTCTATAGTAAGTTTGCCATCATTACTGAGAATAGCCTCTTCACTCGGTATGAATTCACCGTTGATGTAAGTCAATCCATGATTCAGTTGCAATTCTTGAATTAATTTCCGATTGTCCTCTGACATTTTGATTATTGAAGTATCAACGTTTCGACAATCAGTATACGTATACAGTATCGCACAAATAAATACTGTACTCCTTGCACTGCATATGCAGCGGTGTATGATGTGTCACATCTGTACGTATACGCAATCAGTTCTTAACTTATGAGTTCGTACGTTGCACATAAATTCCTTTGGTAAATGTAGAGTGAAATGATTCTATATCGAAAGCTACAGAATTAACTATCTCAGTATATGAAGCTGATAAAAAATGGTTTCGATCAAGGGTCTGATGAGTCTAGTCACATCAAATCCAATTCCAGTCACTTTTCAAATAATCAATGTAAAACCAAAACAAAAGTTTGCAATAAAATTGGACCCTAATATTAGCTTGAAGGCTACCCGAGAGGAATTCAAAAAATACGAAGAACTCAAAAAACATGAAGAACCAAAGATAGAAGAATGTGAATTTTTATTCAAAAATGATGAGTCGACTATAATTTTAGATGAAGACAAATGGTCAATAGGGGAATGTTGGAACGATCGTATGGAAGTTAATCTTAAATGGAATCCGCGTTGGAAATTTTTTGTTAATAAATTTGATTTAGGATACGGATACAATGTTACAAATGACAGAGCCGTGCGAGCAAAAAAGAAAGCATTCAACATATCTGATTGTAAATTCACTGAGAGAAATGGTAAAGAGGTTAAGATCAAAAGTGACGATTTGAATTTTTTCTCTGATTATCACAAATGTTCAAGGTATTCAAAAATTGAACTAGAATTTATTCGAGGACACGTAGAGATCGTGAAAGAGTTTAGGGATGCACTAGATACATTTATCAAATCCGGAGATGTCAACAAACTTGCGGAAATTATAAGTGATTATGGTACTTTGATTCCTACAACTATCCAATTGGGATACAAGGTAAATTCTTTCGATCATATTGATAAGGAGGATGACTGGATAGATGATCCGGGAGAATGGGAACCAGTCGATTATCAGGGTCAAAAGAGTATATTTGAATTATTGGATAGTAATCTGCAAGAACATCTGATTTCCGCGAGAGGAGATACAATTCTCCATGAAAGTGTCGAAGAAGAGAATTTTGTATTCTCCGATACCACTAGGCATGCTATTAGACGCCTTGATATACCCTATGACATATTATCAACCAATTTAAAGGTATTTGCAACATTAGTCAACATGAATAACGATGACAATATGTTTACGTTTCGGCTTTATCGCTCAGCTCCTGATGAATCCCACAATATTGTTATTCATTGTGTCAAACCTCTAGAAAAGAAAAGTGTCCATAATCTAAAAATAGGCTGGATAGCAGTTGGTTGCTGCCCACATGTCAGAGACATAACGAGACGCTTGAATCAAAAATCACGAATACATACATTTCATGAATCTTTATCAAGCAATGATCAAGGAACTCTTGATTTTGAACTTAACCATATCAAACCGAAATTATTGAAAAACATTACAGATTGCGGTTTCGTGGGAATTCTTGAAACGGATAGTTTTGAATTTTCAGAAAGAGCGTTAATAGGTGGACATCATTTTTGTCAACATGATGATGCCGACAAGATTAGCGCGCATATCTTTGGTTATTGTTTAAAAAAATTAAGATCTTGTAAATTTTCAAAAATTGCCATTAATATATTGTGCATATCGGAATATCAAGAAAAAGGAGCTTATGGAATAGAGCATAAGTCATCTAGAAATCGACTAGACAATGGTATCTTGAGATTTATAAGTTTGATCTCCAAAATCAAAGATGATCATTTGCATAATCTTATCTGTCAAAATCAGAAAGAAGTTTTTAGCAAGAGTCTCGATGGATTCAAAGAATTCTTTTTCAGCGAGAAGTATTGCAATACAGATTTTTCCTACTTTTATTTTTCTCCTTTTACAAGGTCCATGAGACAAATTTTTGTTAGAGACGATTCAAGATCCCTACCGGAAAGCAATGAGAATACCAATCGAACAGAGGAGTTTGATGGCTCCGATAAATCTGATTTAATCTTTTTGCCGGCAAGCAATGAAAATACATGCCAAACACGGGAGTCTGATGAATTGCTTGATGATTCCGATAAATCTTATTCCATGCTTTTTCCGGCAAGCAATGAGAATGCATACAAGACAGGGGAGTCTGATGAATCGCTTGATGATTCTGAGGAATCTGATTCAATCTCTCTTCTGGGAAGTAATGAGAATACATTCCAAATAGAGGAGTTCGAGAAATCACTAGATAATGCCATGAGAAAAGGATTTATTAAATCGATTGATCATCGTTCACTTGACATGAAATCATCAAGAAATGTTAATGTTAAAAGTGCTTATTTTAAAGACAATACGAAAGTTTTCCTGAGATTTCCAAAAGAGTATGATCGTCGCGTCCACTTTTTTAGAGAGGTGATGTATACCAAGTAGTAAATTTTTAATATCGATCGGTTGTAATAACTTGTTTATCGATCTATTTCGAAATCTTCATATGAATACTGTAGATACAAAATTTAATCAAAGTGGGTCATAATGAAAATATAATTGGATTTATTGGCATAGGAAAAGGTATTTGTTCATACTTATTTATTATTATTATTTTTTTTTTTATTGTATAAATTCATTATGTAATAGTTATCACCTATCATCGAAAATTTTTATTATTGATCATTTATTTAGATCCCTCGAACGAATATTTTGCAGTATTACAGTATATTGGCGAAAAAAATCTCAGAAACTATTTGCATGAAAGATTCGAAGAACTGGATTGGGATACTAAAATAAAAATGGCAAAAGGAATTGCTAGAGGATTAAAATGTATCCATAATGAAGATGTCGTTCATGTCAATTTGGTAAGCATAACCATGAATGTATGCATACAATAGCTTCTTGATCCTTATTGATAATTTTATTTACAAGCAATTTTAGAATTCTCGGAAAATTTTGGTTTACGATGATGAGAAACTAGTAATCACCGACTTTAGTTCATCCATAAATAGCACCAGTGAAATATGTGATCACAAAATTGGTTATGTAACCAGGGTCCGCGCAGATTTACAAAATAATACTTCATGCAAGTCTTTAGACATTTGTAATCTAGGGTTATTATTCTGGGAGATATCAAGCGGAATGCCATCTGCCGTTGAAAATATAGAACGCCCAGTTAATGAGACTCCAATGGATTACATCGAAATTTATCGTAACGCATGCTATTGCGATCGTCGCAAACAATCCACAATCGAGGAAATCAATCAATCTCTTGATGATATTGAACTCAATACTATGTACAAAGATTTGGAATACAATCCTGAAATTTGCTCCGGAAAAAATGCACTCGAAGATGAAACAAAATGCGAAGCTTTTCTAGAAGTTATTCATGAGTATTCTGCAAATAAGTGCTTCTTTCTTGGTAAACACGAAACATGCGTGGGAAGAGCTTCTTCGAACGATATTATCATAAGACACCATGATATTTCCAAAACGCATGTAAAGCTAATAAAAAACCACAGAAATCTTTTGATAATTGATTTGGATACTTTTTCAGGAACATTTGTTAACGATGAGAAACTCGAAGCCCGTATGCCTCGTTCCTTAAAAGATGGCGATATAATCAAAATGGGAAACATAACTTTTGAATATTTCCCGCAGAATTCATATAACAATCGCATTGACAATGATACAAAGATTTATAACAAAGGCTTCTTGATGAAAACCTTGGAAGTAGAATTTAATAATGCCAAGAAAAAGAACTCCGACTTAAGCTTACTATTCTTTGATATCGATCAATTTAGGAATGTAAACAAAGAAAGTCATGAAGCAGGGGATTACGTTTTAAAAGAATTGTGTAATTTCATTAAGGAAAACCATATCCGCGACAAAGATACTTTCTCACGATATGGTGGAGACGAGTTTACCATCCTTCTTAGGAATACTGATGCTGAATTGGCACTTACAATTGCCGAAAATATCAGAACATCTGTTGAAACTCACAAATTTATTTTCAAAGGAAAAGAAGTACCAATTACAATTAGTATCGGAGTTGCAGCGAATCCATCCGTAGAAACTTTTGATGATTTGCTTCGTTATGCTGATTTAGCTTCAATTGATGCCAAAAAAAATCGTAACCAAGTAGTGATATCGAGTAACGATCCTGTACGTTGGAAATTTATCATTTCTATTTCTATTAAAATTACTTTGATATTGAAATTAATGCTTTTATATACTTTTTAGGAAATATTACGTGCTGCAAAGCGTGTGCGTAATATCTAATAAAGATTCGCTAGTACATATGGTGTGGTGTATCTGCACGAAGATAAAGCACAAGAGTTTTCATCGTAATCCTGTTTTATTCTTTAAGAGTCAATCATATAATATGAAATAGCAATGACCTTTCTGATTGATCAATTAAAGAAAGTCCTACATATATAACTTTAAGCCGGTAAATTTACAATTTATTGGGGGCCACGTACTTTCATAAATGGGTAATTATTTTTGAAGGTGAGCAGGTGTTTTTCAAAAATGGTGACCGAAAACTGATTTTGTCACCTTCAAAGATAATTGCCCAAATAATAAGTTTTCCTATGAATTACTTTTTGCCTTATAATTCTGTCTTAATAAGCAAAGTAGGAAATGTATTATACCATTATAAATCGTTTATGCCACATATACTATGGATGCTATTTACTTATTCAAAGATATTAATTTACAAGTATGACTTTGCATTTATTAAGATGTAATACAGTAATATTATATTTTCCAAGAGTTTTATAAATAGACAATCGACTTTTAAATATCATTAAGTAAATGTTTGCATTATGTTTCATTATACAGTCAGTTTATAAAAACCTATTTAAACTTTTATTATGGTTTTATTTAACATATACTGTATAGAAAATATATTGTTATGGCAAAACACAGTGAGTTTTTCACTCCTGTCTAATTTATACCATTTAATGATATAGTGCATTCTTTTTCAAAAGAGGTGTGTGAATTTGATAGAGTTATTAGGGAAACAAATTTGTTCATGAATTTTGCATAACTTTGAAAATGGCCATTTATTATTTCTTGACTAAATGATATCAGAAACTACTAAAAACAAAACCTCCTTAATTAAACCTTTTTTATTAATTAAACTTGTAGTTAATTACCTATCAGTTCTTTTTATATTTTTGTTATATATTGAATGTATCTAATATTCTTTTTTTTTTTACTTTCATTATATTAGTAGTCTATTTTTATCTCTTAACATTATTACAAACCAAATCAAAATTAGTATACATAACTGTAATATTGTCTTATTTATATACAATATATTTGAAAACTATAATTTAAATGTTTAATTAAATAAAATAAATAGATTAATTCATTTATGATATTTATCTATTTGTCTAATTATAAATAAAATTATTTGATTGTTTTAATAATAACAATAATATTATTAAATATTAATTACGATATATAAAATTATATTTTTGATATATTGAAAGAATTTCTATTTAAATTTAAAAACAATTGTAAATTATTGATAATGATTATTATCATTAGATAAGAAATAAATACAGTGTATAATAAATTAATGTAAATATCTGAAACCAAGTATAAAACTTAAAGAAAAATAATAAGAAGAAAATTAATCATTTCTTTATTTTTTTATATTCAACAATTCTATATGAAAAATTTAAAAATTTAAATTATTTAAAATAGATTTATAGTAAAAATAAATAAAAATGATTTATATTATAATTATATTTTTATATTATTCTAATATTATTGTATTAAATATACAAAATGATATTATGTATATCTATTTGTTATATAAAAAGTTTTATTTACTATTTTTATTATTTATTATATTATGTTTACAATTATACTATTAAATATATTTTTGTCTTTTGTATTTAATTATATTCTTATTAAATTATTTTAAGTTAAATAATATTTTTTGTTTTTGTTTTTTTTGTGTATGGATATTATTTAATTTATATATGATAGAACATATAAATAATATCTTTTATATGTTGATATAATGAATTAAATACTAACTTGCTTATAGTAATTATATAACCAATATTTTAAAAAAAGTTTAGCTTAAATAATATGTCTTATTAAATAATATTAAATAATTATAAATACTTACTTAATATTAAAAAAAATAAAATTTGATAATATTGATATTAAATTATAAATATATTTAAAAAATATAATTTAAAAATTTTGATTTATATAAATTGTAAAATATAATAAAAACAATTAATTAATTATTTATTATTAATTATAAAATTTGTTTTTCAAGATATAAATATAAAGGAATTTATTTATTTTAAGTTTTTAATAAAATATATAAATATTTGTTTAAAATTATAAATAATATATTTATATATTTATATAATATTAGAAAATTTTGTATAATAGTATAATATATAATATTTCAAATTCAATATATCAATTAAACAAAAGTAAAAATAAATATTATAAGGATTAAACAAAAGAATATAAATTTAACAAGTTTATATAAATTCAAATAGTTATTTAAAAGATAAATATTTATAATATTATCATTTAAAAGTTTTATAATTATTAATTACTACATATAAAATTATAAAAATAAATATTGTAATTATACATATGACATAAATTATTTTGTTGTTAATTCTATTTAATAATTCTTAAAATAATTTCATTATAATATAATTATTTATATATTTTAATAATAATTTAATTATATTAAATAATTATATCAATTGTATTAAGAATTTAGAAATTTAAAAATATATATAATCTCAATAATAAGTTGTTATTTTAGATAGTTTTATTAATAAAATCAATAAAATAATTATCTCAAGTCATTATTATTGATTATTTTTATTTTTAATAATATATAGTTTTTACTATTTTTTTGATATAAACTAATTTTTTAAATATATTTTCAAGCTTGTATAAATTTAAATATTTTAAATAATTGAAAGAATTTTATATAATATTAATATATTTAAACATAATTTATTATTAAATTTTTATTTTAATATCAAAAAAAAAAAACAAAGTATAAAAATTTTTGATAAAATAAGTACAAATATAAACTTATTTTTTTATTTTTATAATCATATTTCACAAATTTTAAGCTTGTCTATAGATCTTATTGCTTTATTTAGTTTAGTTTCAATATAGTACATAATATATTATATTAGTGTTCTTATAAAAAACAACTAATAAATATAATATTAAAATAACTGAAACAAAACTTTAAATAAAAATATTTTATTTTAATTTTTATTTAAAACATACATCCTATATAGATATTGTTTATTTGATTTACCTCATATTTTTTTTAAATAAAATATTGTTAATTACATACAATTAATTAATTGATTATTAATAAAATATTAAGGTATTTTATATAATACCATAAAAAAAATAAAATCTAATGTCAT